CTATTGAGAATTAAGATGTTACAGAAGGCACCTTCCAACCTTTGAAGTTTCTCCCTTAGGTGAAAAATTCTCACTTGAGCAAGAATTTGGCTAGCACAATTATCTCTCGTCTTATAAATAAAATAAACTCACTTAACTCTTTATTTGAGTAAAAAACTCTTACTTGAACGAATCGCTACCATATTAGGCTGCCTCTTCCACGGTCTTATCCTCACTCAAGCGACACAGGTCTCTCTTAAGCGAAAACAAAGATGTTTGCCCAGTTTCAAACACTACCTCATCCCAATATCGAACAATACAACTCATATATATCAATTACATTCATGCAATAGAAACATTGTACAACACCAAACAACATAAACATATTGTTTACTTTCACTCAATACACTACTACAGATAAGGCTTTCCACGTATCGACGTTGTATCAGGCGAACGTCGGTTCTATTTAATCGACATTGAAAGTCTTCCTATATAGAATATAATAGAATATGTCTGAACTTCTTTCCCCGTACCGAACCGCAGCAGCTAAAGGACGTGCCACTGGACGAGGATTTCTTTCATTTTTGTTAACATAAACATATGGTTTACTTTCACTCAATACACTACTACAGATAAGGCTTTCCATGTACCGACGTTGTATCACGGTTCTATTTAACCGATGTTGAAACTCTTCCTATATAGAATAGAATAGAATATGTCTGAACTTCTTTCCCCGTACCGGACTGCAGCAGCTAAAGGACGTGCCATTGGACGAGGATTTATTTCATTTTTGTTAACATAAACATATTGTTTACTTTCACTCAATACACTACTACAGATAAGGCTTTCCACGTACCGACGTTGTATCAGGCGAACGTCGGTTCTATTTAACCGACGTTGAAAGTCTTCCTATATAGAATAGAATAGAATATGTCTGAACTTCTTTGCCCATACCGGACCGCAACAGCTAAAGGACGTGCCACTGGACGAGGATTTCTTTCATTTTTGTTAAGTGAGGTCTTCTCGTCACTTTTCGGGATGCTAAATAAATAGTCGGTATTGATTTGATTCTTCCATGGGATATGGGTTTACATGACGGGGACTCCCAACTTATTGAATAGGTGACTTCCGATAAAAAATGGTCGAGGAATAGGCCTTGGCAACAACAAGCTTTTCTCCTTTCTTTTCGTTTGTTTCTTCCACATGACTACTCGAGGGTTCCAAAAAGGGTAGTGTGAGGCTAACAAATGTCGTCTTACGATCATGAAATAATTTTTATATATTTACAACCCCTTTACCCCTTTTATTTATCTAGAAGTCCCCCTCTCTTTTATATTATATTTTTTAGAAGTTTAAAGTATTACCAAATTAATTTTTTATTTATTTAAACCCCCTTTATATATCTAGAAGTCCCCCTCACAATTTTTTTTAAAAGCGGTTATTTTTTTAGAAGTTTAAAGTATTACCAAATTAAATTTTTATTTATTTACACCCCCTTTATATATCTAGAAGTCCCCCTTGGCGGGATTCAAACCAAGTATCTTAGAGTTGAAGACTGATGCTCCAACCACTAAACTGCTAAAATTTTTCGATAATAACTTACAAATAAATTATATTTATATACAAATAAATATATAGCCGTGTAAATATATAAATACAAATATATTTATATATTTTGATATATTTATATATTTTGGTATATTTATATATTTATATGTTGGATGTGAGGGCACGCTCGAAGGTGAAAGTGTGTGTCAAGTGGGTTTTCAAAATTTGATGTTAAATTTGTGAGCGAGTCTCTTTATATGAGTTTGTAATTTAATGACAGAATATAATCTTTATAATTTATTTATATAATGATATAAAATAAATTTAGGAAACGCGTAATTCGCTCTCAAGAGAAAAATACTAATTTTCGCTCAAGCGAGGCTTGAGCGTGTGAATTTCGGTGAGCTTTAACGTATTTTCACTCAAGCGAGAGTCAATCCCACTTTCACCCTCGAACGCACCCTCACATCCAACATATAAATATATAACTATATAAATATATATAAATATATCAAAATATATAAATATATTTGTATTTATATATTTTATATTTATATATTTACACGGATATATATTTATTTGTATATAGATGTAATTTATTTGTAAGTTATTATCAAAAAATTATAGTATTTTAGTGGTTGGGATATTTGCTTTAAACTCTAAAATATTGGGTTCAAATCCTGTTAGTGACAATTCTTTAACTTAAGTGAATTTTTGGTTGAAAAAAAAATAAAAACATTTTTCAGAAAATATATACAAATAAATATATATTTACACGGATATATATTTATTTGTATATAAATATAATTTATTTGTAAGTTATTATCAGAAAATTACAGTAGTTTAGTGGTTGGAGTATCAGTTTTCAATTCTAAAATACTGGGTTTGAATCCTCTCATTAATAATTTTCTAATTTAAGTGAATTTTTGGGTGAAAAACAAATATAAACAAAAAGACTACGTAGAAAGTACTTTCCACGTCGGTTCTCATAATGACGTAGAAAACATATTTTGTAGTAGTGATACCAAAAACATATATATTTCTTTTCCAGCTATATTATTACTTAAATAGCTAACTCCTCTTGCCTCTTAAATCCTAACTTCCCAGGTATGTGTGCAATCATAATAAATATTTGTTGAAAATACAAATATGAATTGAAATCTCACATTGAATAGAAATTCTAAAGTTGAATAATTTATAAGTGAGAAATACCCATAACCTAATGTTAGGTGGTGTCATATTCTCTTATATAGTTGACCCAAACTCATTTATTAATAATATCATTGTTTTAACCCACTGAAAATATCAATAGTAATATCAAATTCGATCGTTCATATGGTAACTAATTCGGTTGAATACGATATTACCTAATTCCGTATCAGAGCACATCAGTCATTTCCAGAGAATAATAACAATAAATGGGTTATAAAATTTCATTGTGGATCGGTAAATTCTTGGGCCGAGCTGGATTTGAACCAGCGTAGACATATTGCCAACGAATTTACAGTCCGTCCCCATTAACCGCTCGGGCATCGACCCAGCACAATAGGAAGAATATATTTCAGTTTTATTGAAAATTCTTGATCAACTTCCTTTCGTAACACCCTACCCCCAGGGGAAGTCGAATCCCCGCTGCCTCCTTGAAAGAGAGATGTCCTGAACCACTAGACGATGGGGGCATACTTGCCCGACCACCATTATACTATGTTCATAGTATGAATAGTTTTTCGAAATTGTCAATATAATGATTCGATAAAAAAAAGATTTTTCGCTCTTTCAGAATTCCATAGAAATTTTTTATTAATCATTTAGATTTCGAAATGGTTTTTTTTGAATTCCAGTCATAATAAGAAAAAAATAAGTAATGTTCAAATAAAAAGAAAATTCTTTACGGGAATGATTGGTTTGTTGGAAAGGATGGGAGGTTAAAACTTCATTTCTGTCACTGTCTTTTATTACTAATACTAAGAAAATAATTTTTCAAAAAAAAAATACGAATTTGGTTGAAGGACAGAACAAATTGAATCCATTTATCAAAGATTCGATGAAATATTTGAATTTGTGAGTACATTTATGTATCAATAAAATGAATTGAATGTTATGATTAGAATGACTTCAAGAATCAATTTGGAAATAATGTATTCTTTTTATATTGATAAAATCCAAGATTAAGAAATTCTTTTTTTTTTATTATATTCTATTCACTGGGTAAATCCAATTTTTTGTTCTTTGATGAGTCATTATGCAACTAATATATATTGATGTATTTTTATTCTAATCCCATTTAATTTATATAATTTCATTTATATAATAGATATAAATTTATATAATAAGTATACATAGTAACAAATAGATGTACTAGTCATATTGGCTAGTTCCTTATTTACGAATTGAATGAAAAAGGGCCCTTTTAACTCAGTGGTAGAGTAACGCCATGGTAAGGTGTAAGTCATCGGTTCAAATCCGATAAGGGGCTTTTTACTTTTTTTTTTTCAAAAGCAATAGTCTTTATATTTTAAGGAAGAATAGAAAGATTCTTGCTATTTGGAAAAAGTTTCTATTTGTAATAAAAAATAAAGTAATCGTAGAATTTCATTAGAATATAGTAAAGAAAGTAATAAAAATGAAAAAGTGTAAACTGAAATTCTTAAAAATGGAAAAAGAAAATAAAAGTAAGTGGACCTAACCCGTTGAATTCTATCTATATCTACTATTCTGATATTCAAATTTGATAAAGATGAAATTCGAATAATCTTTTTTTTTTCCAAAAAATAAATTTCTCTTCTTTCTATAAGATTAGATAGAATCTTATAGAAAGAAGAGAAAAATACATGAAATTATGTCTTCGCGTATCAAATACTTTCTTTTCATATCGATGCGTACGATATTTTTCCAACAATTCATATATATGAGACAGAAACTTTCATTTACAGTTTTTTCTTTTTATTAATGATTTCTAAAAAAAAATGAAATACATTAATAAAAAGAAAAAACTGTAAATGAAATAGAAATTTATAAAATATATGATCCTAGAATAGTTTCCTAGACAAAATAGAAGTCAATTCACAAACAAAATTCAAGAATAAGTTTAATTGATGAAAGGAGATAAATATGTCTGAGGATCTGCTGGGTATAACGAGTAAAAGAGGGGATCATTTGTTTCTTGAAGAGTTCTTAAAAAAAAATGATATCGGATTTTGGAGTCATTGGAGATTTTATGATTTATGACTTGGGAGATTTTTCAGAGTAGAAAGGAATAACCACATGGAGTTCATGGATTTGTCCTAGATATCAATAGATCCATAAGTTATTTTTTATTCGAAACCGATTAGAAAACAAGGGAAAGTATACTATAAAATTCTCTATATATAGAGAGAAATGAATAGAGAGAAATGATAAAGGTCCGTCCCATCCCTGAAAATGTTCTATGAGGTGTTGGGAAATGGTTGAAGTAGTTGAATAGGAGGATCGCTATGACTATAGCTCTTGGTAAATTTACCAAAGATGAAAATGATTTATTTGATATTATGGATGACTGGTTGCGGAGAGACCGGTTCGTTTTTGTGGGTTGGTCCGGTCTATTACTCTTTCCTTGCGCCTATTTCGCCTTGGGGGGTTGGTTTACGGGTACGACCTTTGTGACTTCATGGTATACTCATGGATTGGCAAGTTCCTATTTAGAAGGCTGCAACTTCTTAACCGCTGCAGTTTCCACTCCTGCTAATAGTTTAGCACACTCTTTGTTGTTACTGTGGGGTCCTGAAGCACAGGGAGATTTTACCCGTTGGTGTCAGTTAGGTGGTCTATGGACTTTTGTTGCTCTGCACGGTGCTTTCGGATTAATAGGTTTCATGTGATATCATATTCTCTTATATGGTTGACTCATATCAATTCATTGAGAACCTTATTGTATTAACCTCCATCGAAAATACCCAACTTTTCCAACCCATATAACCAAAATAAGGATTAATAACAAATTTTCCTCCCTTTAAACATAAAAACAACCAAAACAAAGTAGTTTTAATCCTTATCCACCAAAATTTTAATACTTAATTTTTTTTTAATCTTAAAAAAAAACTATATTTATTGAATTTTTTAACGGACTTAATATATTTTTATATTCAAAGAAATTCATGATTTTGCAATAATAATTTAATATAATCATAAAATTAATAAAAATATTAATTTTTATAATATATTATTTTAATTTTATATTAAATTTAAATTTTAGCAATTTATATCTGATAAATTTAGTAATACTATAATATAATTGTAATATTAATAAACATACTTAACTTATATAATATATCTCTTTTTATACTTAAATTTAAAAATTAGCAATTTTTATTTCATCAAATCCTAAATTTAGTAATTTTTTTGTCAAATGGTTCTTGTTGAGTTGGTCTTTTAGGTGAAGGTTGTTCTTCAAAAGAAGATTCTGAAGAAGGTTGGGCAACCTTCTTTCTTTTGTTTGGTTTGGGTACTGCTGGTCTGAACTTAGACCTGTAAGTCGTTGCTGTTGGTAGGGACCATGTAGTTGGTGATGCTGGTCGAAAATATGAAGATGGGTTCTGGAAAGAGGAGTAGGCTGGAGTTGAGGAGAATAGGGACGAGTAATGATCTTTTTCTAGCTTCTGTTGCCTAATATTTTCTTCAATATAATTATCCATCTCTTAGATCTGGGCCTTGAGCCTTTAGATCTCCCTTTCTTTGGCATGAGATAGTTCTTCGAAGACAGTATTCTTCGAGTCTTCCTCTAACTTTGAGATTTTTGAGGAGAGTTGTTTGTAGTGCTTCCTCAAACTAGAATTAAGGTGTTGGAGCTTGTCATCAGTCTCCTCGAGATGTGTGAAGATCTTGTCTATCTTTTTATCAATTTTTTGCAGGATAGAATTTTGAGCTTGAGCATTCTCTGTCTGCCAATTTAGTACTTCTTCGGCCTGACTTAGTGGTTTGGTCTTCCCATCTGGTCCAATCTCTTGGCAAACGACATGTGGTTTGGTAGTCATTTTGGACACTGGATCAACCCTTTCTAAATGAGGAAATTCTTCTTTGTAGGCTGAAGGGTTGATCATCATGCATGGAATGCAAAGGAGCTATGGGAAAAGCTGAGGTGACATGGTAGAGGTTCTGCACCTTTCTTGTTTAGAGAAGAAGAGGTCTTCCTCTTCAAGGATCTTAGCATATCGCCTATATTTCCACAAGGGATCTAGCTCATATTGGCTGTGAATTCTTATCCACGGGCCTTTTTCAGATTCAAATCTTTTGGGAGGAATGAATGGAGGTTTGCATGATCCTCCTTTGAAGTCATCATCATCATCATTATCCTCGTCACTAGTGTCTCCATAGTGGTCACAACATTCACAGTCAGAATCGCACATATCTGGGTCAGCATCCCAGATGAAGTGTCCCCCTATCTTATCAGTAAAGGTAGGTCTGCCATCAGGCACACATTGGCGATAGGGATTTTTCCTTCTTTGGTGGTAGGCGTTATCATCATCGACTGGAATATGGAGGTTCTAGAGCTTGGAACATCTTCTGGATTCTTGAAAATGGTTCTGACAGTGCCATCTACAGATCTTCTAAATGTTGCTTCTGTGAACTGGATGGGTTTCTAGTTGTTATGGAGCTTCTCGTAATTCGTCACCCACTGCATAGGAATGAGTTTGTGCAGCTCTTGTGAAGAGATATTTCTGGGAATTTGAACTATGGAGGGTATCTCATCTTGGTTATTGGCCAAGATGAATAGTGTTCCACCTTTATAGGATGGTAACGCAAGATTAATTGCATGATCTTGCAATCTGTATATGATCTAATGATGAAGAGTAGCTGATAGTGCATCAGCTACTTGCTCAGCTCTAGTGATCTAGACCTGAACTTTTAATCTCTGGGAGATTGTGGGATCCTTCAAGCTAATGTTTGAAGTTGGGAAAGATGGTGAGAACTACACTTCCAGCATGAAGAGTAGTCAGAACAGTGCCGATAACGACATGCTCATAATGAAGGTAGCTGGAGTCTAAGAGAGAGACTCTGGCTGAGATAGGTAATCCTCGTCTTCCATGAAGGGAGAAGACTAATCGGATAGCTCCATAATGGAGATGAGTATAACCCTTAGTTTGCCAATGCCTGATAAGATCTTTGGGGATCTCAATGTTGACATATTGTTCTTCTGTAGTAGATGCTAGGGCACACTGATCCATCCTGGAGGATTGGACATACTCCTTAACATGAGGTCTTTTGGTGGAAAGAAGACGAGTGATAGATCTAAGGGTAGATCTTTGTCTCCTAAAAATATTATAAGGACTAAGGAGAGGACTGTACATCTCAGAGATCTGAGCATCTTCCGGAACATAGGAATACTCTATGAGGTTTTTTATTTTAGAAGAAAGAGTTTTTGAGATGTTTTTGGGAAGAGAAAGAGTTGAGTTTAACAGAACGGGACCAACGGGACCGGACTCTGATGATGGTGTTTGATTATCCATGGTTAAAGGTTTCTCTTACTCACTTTCCACTCATAATTCATACTATCATACCCCTTCTGAAAAATGGTTAGGCTCTGATACCATTTCGGACACAGACCCCTTCTTATCCAAACGATATGAACATCCTCGGGCATAAGGGCGCCATCCCTCGGCTAAAAGCCCACTCAAGTTCATATTTCCTATAAGAAGAGTACTCTGTGGTAAAATGGTTTCATAGATCGGAAGCTTTCTGATACACAAGATCCTCTTTCGAGGCAAGTGTAGAGCATATTTGCATCTAAGTGGGGAACGATACTAAGAACTACAAGCTTCAAGCTTTCAGAGAAGAGAAAACTTAGAGAGAGAACATTTTAGGAAGAGAACTTGTATTGATTTCACTCTATCATGTTCTGAGTTACAACATTACAAGCATCCCCTATTTATAGTAAAACCAAGCAAGCGGAATCTCAAGCTACGCTAAACTAGATTGAAATTCGGACCCGAAACTTATGTTACAAGGTTGAATCCGAAATAAGATAATAAAACTATGGCCTACACCTCATAATGGCCTTACAAAAGACAAAATATCATGATTCACACTTTATTTTAGTCATATGTATGGACAAAGTAGAAAAGATAAGATAAGATTCTAAAATGATGTCTTATCTCTTCATGGAAAAGTAAAGTTGATCTGGACTTATCTTCCTTAACACGTTTGTGATAATCACAATAGACACGTGTAAAGATAAGGGAATTGTGCTTTAGTAGCATGTCATAATGACAACCATTAACTAAAGCCTTTACTTTAGCCAGATCGGGTTGAACCAGGGTAATTCATCTGCTGGGCCTCACTTCTTATCATGCTTCCATGTAACGGGTCCCAGTAGGGATACATCTTCTTGTGCATCATCATTTCTTCCATCAGATCTTCATTGAGATTATCCGCTAGATCTTCAACCTTCTGGAAGGCTTCATCAGGGACGTTCATCTTTGCCTTTGATTTGAAAATTCTTATTTATTGAGATCTATCTTCTTCTGGGATGATATTATCCATAGGATATGAATCAAGTGGTCTTTGGGATGAGCTGGCGATGTTGGGGTCCACTGGCTTGTGCTGGTAATGGTTTACTTCACAGAGGTGATGCGCCAGTTGTGCACGGTAACTTTTATCAAGTGGGTAAGTTTCAAAGCTGACCCAAAGATAAGCTTCATTTCTTGACCATAGTTGTCCTGCTGGATTTAAGAAGTATGGATGGTGGATGATGAAGATCGAGGTCAAATTCTTGAGAGAGTCTTCAGTAACTCCTTTCTGTCTTTGACAATCTAGAATCTCTTTGAGCTTTTGTCTCCACCAGGGTATTGGAGAAAACCACTCGAGTAATGTCCTGAAGTGGAACTTGTCTTTGTAGGGATCTGTCAAAATGCTATAAGTTGTTGTGTTTTTAGTGTGATGGAAATTGAGTATTGAACAGTATCGCATCAAATGGTCCATAGTGTGGGTTCGTAAAGATCCCAACCGGGTTCACAAAATAGTTCAAAGATTCCCCCAAAGGGAATGTCAGGGTTAAACATTGAGGCTAAGATTATATTATATCTCATGGTCTCGTGTAAAAAGTAAAAATAACGAGTTCTAACATAATCGAGAATATCGGCTGGTGTAGTTGGGTTTAAATCGGGTAGATAGACTTTAATGGTCTTGGCTTTGTTGGAGAGAGGTTTGACCATGTAGATAAGAGGAAGACTATAGGTGTTGACTAAGGAGAGGACCGTACGTCTCAGATATCTGAGCATCTTCCGGAACATAGGAATACTCTGAGGTTTTCTATTTTAGAAGAAAGAGTTTTTTAGATGTTTTTGGGAAGAGAAAGAGTTGAGTTTAACAGAACGGGACCAACGGGACCGGACTCTGATGATGGTGTTTGATTATCCATGGTTAAAAGTTTCTCTTACTCACTTTCCACTCATAATTCCTACTATCATACCCCATTTCTGAAAGATGGTTAGGCTCTGATATCATTTCGGACAGAGACCCATTCTTATCCAAACGATATGAACATCCTCGGGCATAACGGCGTCGTCATTAATAGTCAACACCTATAGTCATTACAAGTTCTTTTCCTAAAATATTCTCTCTCTAAGTTTTCTCTTCTCTGAAAACTTGAAACTTATAATTCTTAGTATCGTTCCCCACTTAAATGCAAGTATGCTCTACACTTGTCTCGAAAGAGGATCATGTGTATCATAAAACTTCCTATCTATAAAACTATTTTACCACAGAGTGTTCTTCTTATAGAAAATATGAACTTGAATGAGTTTTTAACCAAGGGATGATGCCGTTATGCCCGAGAATGTTCATATCGTCTAGATAAGAAGAAGTCTCTATCCGAAATGGTATA